CCCACCACCGGCCTCTCACTCCTGCCCCAGCCCTCACCTGGCATCTCCTTTCCACTCCACGCCTGCCCTTGGCGGGCTGGGAGCTGGCGTTTGATCCCTTGTCCACTGGCATCTTCTGTGTCCTTGGATGCAGACTTGCCGTGGATTCACAGGGCTAATGCCACCTCTAGGGTGCTCCAGGGCCTTAAATACCCCACATAACAGTCGTAACAATGCCCCCGTGGTTTCCATGGAGATGCCTGTGCCCTCACCAGTTCCAAACGGTCCCAGCTGGTCATGGGCAACTGCACAGCAACCACTGAAGCTCTGTGACAGCAGCAGCATCGTGCCCGTGGCCACTGGGCACCCAGGGATGCACTTTTCTCCTCCCTGTTTTTTTCCTTGACAAGATGAAAAGGAAACAGAGAAAAGAAAGAGGGGTAAAAGAAGGGAAAAAAACAACCAAAATAATAAAATACTTGGTAACTGGCACTTTCTCATAAAGGTTTTCAAGCTTCGGCAAGAGATGCAAGCACGATTTTTTTGAGAATAACATGACAGAAAAGCACTTTGGAGTTTATTAAATAGTACATTTGTGGACACTTTGCCGTATCCTGGTCAGCTTTAGCAGCTCATCCAGCTGACACCAGACCTTCTCCGTTGCCTTTTCCGCTGCAGTTTGACTACGAGGACAAGTGTCGGTTTCAGCCTTACAAACGGATAAACGTGGTGTCGAGGTTGCTGGGGCCACGACACATCAGCGCTGCTGCCAGTTGGAGCTCATGGTCCTCTCCCTCTCCTCCTCATCCCACATTCATCTTAAAGCGAACATTTCTCAACCTTCCTTCACTTCTCACACCCATTAGAAGCAAAGAATCATAGAATAGTTAGGGTTGGAAAGGACCTTAAGATCATCCAGTTCCAAACCCCCTGCCGTGGACAGGGACACCTCACACTAAACCATGCCAGCCAACCTGGTCTTGAACACTGCCAGGGATGGAGCACTCACAACCTCCCTGGGCAACTCATTCCAGTGCCTCACCACCCTCACAGTAAACAGCTTTCTCCTTCTATCCAATCTAAACTTCCCCTGTTTCAGTTTTAACCCATTACCCCTTCTCCTGTCACTACAGCCCCTAATGAAGAGTCCCTCCCCAGCATCCTTAAAGGCCCCTTTCAGATACTGCAAGGCTGCTACGGAGTCCCCATGCAGCTTCTCTTCTCCAGACTGAACAGCCCCAACTTTCTCAGCCTATCTTCACACGGGAGGTGCTCCAGTCCCCTGATCATCCTCGTGGCCCTCCTCTGGACTTGTTCTAACAGTTCCATGTCCTTTTTATGTTGAGGACACCAGAACTGCGCACAATACTTCAAGTGAGGTCTCACAAGAGCAGAGTAAAGGGGCAGGATCACCTCCTTCGACCTGCTGGTCACGCTCCTTTTGATGCAGCCCAGGATACGGTTGGCTTTCTGGGCTGCAAGCGCACACTGAAGCCGGCTCATGTGCATCTTCTTATCCACCAGCACCCCCAAGTCCTTCTCTGCAGGGCTGCTCTGAATCTCTTCTCTGCCCAACCTGTAGCTGTGCCTGGGATTGCTCCGACCCAGGTGTAGGACCTTGCACTTGGCATGGTTAAACTTCATGAGGTTGGCATCAGCCCACCTCTCAAGCGTGTCAAGGTCCCTCTGGATGGCATTCCTTCCCTCCAGCGTTATCAACCGAACCACACAGCTTGGTGTCATTGGCAAACTTGCTGAGGGCGCACTCAATCCCACTGTCCATGTCACCAACAAAGGTGTTGAACAGCATCAGTCCCAGCACCGACCCCTGAGGGCGACCACTCGTTACTGGTCTCCAGCCGGACGTTGAGCCATTGACCACAACTCTTTGTGTGCGGCCATCCAGCCAGTTCTTTATCCACCGAGTGATCCACCTATCAAACTGATGTCTCTCCAAGTTAGAGACAAGGATGTCATGCGGGACAGTGTCAAAGGCTTTGCACAAGTCCGGGTAGATGACGTCAACTGCTCTACCCCTGTCCATCAGTTCCGTGGCCTGTCCTGGGTTCAGCAGTAGCAGTCATTTTTCTCCTTCTTGGTAGCTGGTGCAGTGCTGTGTTTTGACTTTCAGCCTGGGAACAGAGCTGATGACACTGATGTTTTGGTCTGGCCAAGGACTTTGTGAGCCTCATGCTCTGCCAGGGAGGAGGGGAAGCCGGCAGGAAGCAGAGACAGGACACCTGATCCAAACTGACCAAAGAGGTATTCCATACCACAGCACGTCATGCCCAGGAGGTAACTGGGAGTTACCCGGAAGGGCTAGGTACTGGCGGGTTGGAGGAGGTATCGGTCGGTGCTTGGTCAGGCTGGGGAGCGAGTCATCGGTCAGCTGGTGGTGAGGTGTTGTATTCTCTTCCCTTCTTATTTCCTTTATCATTGTTATTATTGGTGGTAGCAATAGTGATCTGTGTTATACCTTAGTTACTAAACTGGTCTTATCTCAGCCCGTGGGCGTTGCATTCTTTTGCTTCTCCTTCCCATCCCTCCAGGAGCAGGGGGAGGCCAAAAAGGGGGGGAGTGAGAGAGCGACTGTGTGATTTATGGCTGACTTTGTTTAAACCATGACATAGCCCCGTCATAGAAGGCCACCAAATTGGTCAGGCAGGATTTCCCTTTAGTGAAGCCATGCTGGCTGTCACCAAGCCCCTTGTTGTTTTTCATGTGCCTTAGCATGCCTTCCAGGAGAATCTGCTCCAAGATTTTGCCAGGCACACAGGTGAGACTGACTGGTCTGTAATTCCCTGGGTCATTTATTTTCCCCTTCTTGAAAGTGGGGGTTATATTTCCCTTTTTCCAGTCGTCAGGAACTTCACCTGACTGCCATGATTTTTCAAATATGATGGACAGTGGCTTAGCAACTTCGTTTGCCACCTGCTTCAGGACCCGTGGATGGATTTCATCAGGTCCCATGGGCTTGTATACATGTATATATCCAGTATGTAAATATTTGTCAGTAAAATCAAGGGAGAATGACTTAGCATGGATGAAAAAGCAGGTAGAAGTCAGCGTTACAGCTCTGTCTGATGCAGACAACTTACCAATCAGAACATACCCATCTCTGCACAACACAGTGTTTTTCCTCGACCCAGAGGTCGACCCAGAACCTGGAGGAGGTGATCTCTTCCCCTTCGCACAGCCCTTCGTCTGTGTCCTCTTCCTTCCTGTCACACTCCTCATCATCAGCTTCCTCATCCGAGGTCCCTGGCACCTCCTGTAACTACACAACAGGAATGCAGAAGATGACTTTACGGAGCAGTGGCTGGCCACAGGCAGAGGAAGACTCATACCCCTGTCACGTCCCACCCTCTCCTTGGCAATCACCTGCCTGTGACTGGGCATCCATTTCTGCCTGGGTGGCAAATGATGCCCCTTGCTCTCCTCATGCTGGAGCTCTCTCTTCACAGAGCTACCCAGCAGGCAGCCCGCTTGGCTGGCTCTCCTTTGCATGTCGAGCCCAGGCCTGTTGTGGGCCATACTGCTCCCCTCCAGCTCCTCCAGAAGCTCTGGCACAGGGAGCAGCGGGAATCTCCCTGCCACACACACCCCGGGAGTTGCACTCGCCTCCAGCACCTCAGGATCCCCAGTACTGGCCGCAGGCACCTCACTTACCAGGTAACGAGAGTCCCAAGCCAAGGGAGTCGACACTGCCTCTCCTTCATCGCCTGCTCCTGGTGCAAAGTGGGATGCTCGAACCTCTGCTGCAGCCTTCTGAGGCAACGAAGCTGTCACTTCACCCTCATGTGCTTTGGGGGAAACAAGGGCTGTGCTGGCCTCTCCCTGATGTTCTCCAGATGTGGAAGATGCCCTGTCTTCTTCAGCCTCATCTGCTGCTGGGATGGGAGAGGCTGTGCCGGTCTCCATATGAGACTCTGCAGCCACAGGAGACTGAGCGTCCCCAGCTGCTGCAGGCGTCAATGATTTCACTGTCACATCCAAGATGTGGGACATGTCCTGCTGTTCCAAAGGCTTCTGCTTGGCTCCGTGGATTTCAGAAGCAGCCTTCAGTAGGACCTCCCTTGTGATAAGCCTGGCTGTTTCCTCTAGAACTATCTCACAGGCATCAGGGCTGAGCAAGGCAGGTGTGTGGAATTTCAATGAAATTAGCTAAGCTTTGACTGATAATATTTGACAGCATTCTAGATAGTTTCAGTAATTTATCATATGCTTACACTTGCAGATACTGTATGGCAGAACATTCGTATATTTACTTAGAGAGGAAAGCCTGGATCATAAGGCTTCTAGTTGAATAGAAATATTTGAGGAAAACATGATGAGTTTGGAAAACAAATGTCTCATTTCACATACAACACGTACATCTGACCTACTTGTGTGGTCTCCTTCACAACCCATTATATAAGCTAAAGCAGGATAGTACAGAGAGAGTAACTGACGGATGAACATGAGAAATAGCCTACTGGGCATGGGTATTTATCCATCCAGCCCATATTATTAGACCACAGCAATGAGTGATGGCATAAAGACTCCTGCAGATGTGACACATAAGCAATAAGACAACAGACTAATGCCTAGGAAGTTTGTAACCCACCCGAAGACAAATGAATGATGAGTGTCTCTCCCGAAGGAGTAGATGGGTAGGTGTGGAGCAGGATGCACAGACCAGGAAATGCCTGAAAATGGGATTTAAAGAAATACTGCATGATGAACCTATTACATAGTACTACCAGCAAATCAGCAAGGAGAGAGGTGTTGCACACAGCTGAGAGCATAGACAACCATAAAATTAATGACAGAAAATGATAGCAAACAGAAGCACATATGATACTACATATAAGACACTGATTAAACCTGGGAGAAGTATAGTTCGGAGTTCAAACTATGCTCTTTGGTATTCAATGCACAATATAATGCTTTCTGTAGTCAAGCCCAGAATCAGAAAGGGAGGAAGATGGTTTTAAACATTTTCTTAGCCCTTCTCAAAAGCAGAGATCATTCTGAGCCACTAACACTTCATTCTTTATTTCATCCAAGTAGTCACTGAAAACATACATGTCCACCTGGTTATTATAAACACAATAAATTCCTGCACAGAATATAAACAGATATCAGCTCCACTAGCATGTTTTCACTCTGGGGTACAGAAATGTACATTCCAAATCCTCAGCCTTTCTGAAGCAAAAGTCCAGACTTCAGGAAGTTCTTCTGTAATGTATACATCCATTAGAGACTGGCTTGGTGTCATCATTCTAAATAGCAGAGATTTTAAGATAGAAAGGCTAGCACATTATCTCACTGTCTCGCTCCATTTAAGTTGATTTAATCTAGCAATTTCATTAATTTGTAAGAGGGAGAAAAGTTCCCAAAAGCTCTATCAATTAAAACAGCCTTGCTTTCAAGCTGTCTCTTAACTCACATTCAAGCAAAACACTAAGTCATTGCATATGCCACCCCCAAAAAAGCACTACCTTGGCAGAATCACCACAACCCCAAACCAGCACAACTCTGCTCTCAAGAGTATTAAAATCAGAAGTAATACTTGTGAATAGCACTGAAATAAATCAGTGGAATAAACATCAAGCATGAACAGGTGAAGACATACTGCTGCATATGACATGACATTGGCTGCTTGTTCATAACTGAGTCATCTCCAATTAAATCATCTCCAATGAGGACAAGAAGTATCCAAAAGCAGTGTAACCTTGCACTGGCACTGGTGAAATATTTTTTTCCATTAGTTTCCAATGATTTACCTTACTACTGGTCTGCCAGTATTTATCTAATATTCCAGCAGTGAGAAGTACTTCCATATACTTGAGAAATTTGAGACTACTTTAATAGAGCATTAAAAAAAAACATATTTACAACACTCATAAGCACCACAAACTGGATTATTCAGTATGGTTCTGACTTCAAGCTCAATATATTGGTAAGAATAAGCAGGTCTAATTTGCAGAAACCTCATTTGTTTAATAAACTTAGGGATAATCATATTTGTAATATTTTATTTGTGATATTTTCTTTTTTTTCCTTTACTGCAAGGCCAAACCCTAATAAGAAGTCACTTTTACAATCAAAACCTGAATTCCAACTGCAATGAAATATTCTGTTTTAAAAAATGTTTTTCTATACATCATAGAATCATAGAATCATAGAATCGTTAGGGTTGGAAAGGCCCTTAAGATCATCTAGTTCCACTCTTAGAATAATAAGAGGCCCTCAAGTATTAGAAAAGCTTTACCTCACCATCTGTGAAGAGATGAATTATGATTTCATAAAATGTGAATTATGCTTAGGAATACTCTCATTGCTATAAAACTGTCTCCTTTTATGTATTCATGAAGTCTTACTGTTTCTTTACGCATTCGACTGCTCAGAAGTAGGAAGGCGATGGCATACCCAAAAGACATTTTTGCAAAAACAAATAGATTGCAAAGAGCATTTAAAATTACCATTTTAAATTAGACAGCTTAACCAAGCACGTGTGCTTTAAATCCACACTTTCTTAAGAAACAGTGCAAGCTCCCAAATAGTATCTATGGTGAGAGAATGGGAAGGTCCCCATTAGCATGGTAAACACCCTCACAGTGATGGAAGAAAAGCTGTATCACTCCTCAGCCCACTTGTTGACAACACGCTTACCTTCAAACCTACAACTCCTCATCTGTTTTTCTCTAAGAAAGCAACACAAACCTTCAGTACAAACTATATAAGCAGGTGAAATGTTGCCCCGAATGGTACTTAAAGTATTACAATCCTAATATAAATAAATCTAAGTATTTACATATAAAAATATACATAAACACTAATAACCTGAATGCATTGCAAAACCACTTAAATTCACCTGAAGAAGGGTTTGCCTCCTAGAGCACACTTAAGAAGTCTAACAGAGCTTACTCAGCTGCATGTAATATATATATTATATATATTTATATATCATATATAAATATATATTATATATATCTGTTTCACGGACACCCCCTTGTTGTGGGGAAAGAGCTTGCGTGCCCTTGTGAGGCTGGAGCTATGCTGGTGGTGGCTTATGCCTCTGGTAGGGTCTCCCATGCCAGACAGGTCTCAACTGAAGGGTCAGACAAAGTGTGTCCATGGGCAGGATGGGCTCACTACCCTTTGAGCAACCATCCTAGGAGAAGGACAACTCTAACTTCAAACCTGGGCAGATGGAGCTCGCATAGCCCTGTAAGGCCATCCATCAAAGAGAAGGACACTTTAATCAAACCTACGACCTGAGGACTTTGCTGTCACCATCCAAGCTCGCTAGACCCTGGCAGATAGACCTCAAGTGTAAAGGGAGGGGCCAGTTCTGTGCACACTGTGCCTCACATAAAAAAATCCACTGTACAGGCCCGAGGGGTTTACCCACACACACAAAGCCCTGTAGCGACAGGCGAGGGATGAAAAGGCAGGTGATAAGGTGCACTGGAAGTGGCAGACCCAACCCTGCGTGCAGGCGGTTCAGGACATCGGTTGCCCGAAACTGACCCAGGAGATGACAGTCTTGTTTGGCAACATCCTGAGTGACCAAGCAGGCTTCTTTCAAGGAGAGCACTGCTTGCTCCATATGGAGAGAGGCCTAGAAAAGGTGGCCTAACCAAAGCTCATCTCCCCCTCCACTTGGTTGGCTAGCTGCAGCCAACGGGCATCTTCTGTTGCGGTTGATTAAAGACAAAGAGACAAAGGCATACACCTGTCTCCAAAGGTGTGTCCAGATTGACACTCGCATGTCGGAACATCAGAACCATGCTTGATACAGCGAACAGCGGGCATCCTGAGCGCCGTTCTGCACTAATTGCCCACGAATTGTCACAACTTAAGATCGATATTATTGCTCTCAGTGAAGTTAGCCTTCATGAGGAAGGTAGCCTTAAAGAACATGGTGCCGGCTATACACTCTACTGGTCAGGCAAATCCAAAACTGAAGTCATCTTTCTGGAGTTGGCTTCATGATTAAAAACTCCATCATCTCCAAACTTGAAAATTTGCCTATAGGTCATTCTGATCGTATTATGTCTTCCACTACACAATAAGCAACATGTTGTTCTTTTCAGTCTATATGCTCCAACTCTGCAAGCTGACCCTGCAGAGAAAGAAAAATTCTACTCCGACCTGTGTCACCTCACTCAAAAGGTTCCTATAGAAGATAAGATCATAATCCTTGGTGACTTCAACACCTGAGTAGGTAAGAACTTCGAAGCCTAGAAAGGAGTACTAGGCAAGCACAGTGTTGGCAGCTGCAATGATAACGGTCGCCTCTTACTAGAGTTTTGCGCAGAGCAGCAGCTTACCATCACCAACACCATTTTCCAGCAGAAAGACAGCTGGAAGACAACCTGGATGCATCCTCCATCTAAACATTGGCACCTTATTGAGTATGTCTTAGTGCGCCAGAGAAATATTCTTGATGTCTGTCACACCTGAGTGATGCCTAGTGCAGAATGTCAAACAGACCACCGCCTGTGCGTTGCAAACTTCCACTTCAAGCCCAAACCTAAGAGGGGCAGCATTTGGAGGAGGAGGCTCAATGTTAATAATCTCCAAATAGCTGCAGTGAGGGCTGTTACAGCTACAGCTTTCAGGCTAACCTTCAAACTAGGCTTGAAGATCAGCTTATAGATTCTTCTCCTGAAGCGCTTTGGCAACATATTAAAAATAGCATCCTGCAGTCCTCCGTAGAATCCATTGGGTTCTCCTTAAAGAAAAACAAAGACTGGTTTGACGATAGCAACCAGGAGGTCCAGGAATTGCTGACAAAGAAGACAGCTGCTCATCAAGCACACCTCGCTCAGCCACCTTGCCATGTAAGAAAAGCAGCCTTTCTTCTTGTATGTAGCAAACTCCAACAGAAACTTCGAGACATCCAGAATGAGTGGTGGCTCAACCTAGCAGAAAAGACTCAATTATGTGCAAATTTGGGTGACCACAGAGGATTCTGTGAGGCTCTGAAAGCAGTGTGTGGACCCACATTTCGGGTTCAAAGCCCCTTACTGCAGATGGCCAAATGGTTCTTACAGATAAAATCTCCATCCTGAATCATTGGTCTGAACATTTTCAAACACTCTTTAGTGCTAACCGTGTAGTCCAAGGTGAAGGAATCCAGCACATTCTACAACAACCGGTGAAAAATGAATTGGATTTGATTTAGCCCCTACCATGGAAGAGACTCTTAACGCTATACAGCAGATGAAAACTGGCAAGGCAGCTGGGGTTGATGGAATCCCACTTGAAATCTGGAAGCACGGAGCCCAAGCACTTCATGCTAAATTTCACGAACTAGTTGTGCACTGTTGGGAACAAGGTAAATTACCATCAGATTCTCATGATGCAATCATCATCACTCTGTATAAGAAAAAAGATGTAAAGTCAGACTGCTCAAGCTACCGAGGTATAACTCTGCTCTCCATTGCTGGAAAAATTCTTGCAAGATTACTATTGCACAGACTAGTACTCACTATTGCAGAAGAACTTCTACCTGAAAGTCAGTGTGGTTTCAGAGCTAATAGAAGTACCACAGACATGGTATTTGTTCTTAGACAACTGCAAGAGAAGTGTAGAGAACAGAATAAGGGGCGCTATGTAACTTTCGTTGACCTCACCAAAGCTTTTGACACTGTGAGCAGAAAAGGCCTGTGGCTGATCTTGGAAAGATTAGATTGTCCCCCCGAGTTCCTCAAAATTATTATTCTGTTACATGAGGATCAGCAAGGCCAAGTCAGATATGGCAATGCACTCTCTGAGCCCTTCCCAATAACCAATGGTGTGAAACAAGGTTGTGTTCTCGCACCAACTTTATTCACAGCCTTCTTCAGCATGATGCTCCAAAGGGCTACGGTAGACCTCGACAATCAAAATGGCATTTATATTCGATATTGCACTGATGGTAGCCTATTCAATCTAAGGCGACTGAAGGCCCACACTAAGACCCTAAATCATCTTGTCCGTGAAATGCTTTTTGCTGACGATACCGCCCTTGTTGCCCACACAGAAGCAGATCTGCAGTATTTAACATCTTGCTTTGTGGAGGTGGCTGAGCTTTTTGGGCTGGAAGTCAGCTTGAAGAAGACAGTAGTTCTCTACCAACCTGCACCACAAGATTATCATCATCGCCACATTACCATTGGCAAGTCAGAGCTTAAGTCAGTTCAGCAGTTCAGCTATCTGGGAAGCATTATTTCCTCGGATGCCATGATCGACAAAGAGATAGACAACAGAATAGCAAAGGCACATAGAGCCTTCGGAAAACTCCATAAAAAGAGTCTGGTGCAATAAACACTTGAAGAAAAGTACAAAGATTAGTGTCTATAGAGCCATTGTACTGTCTACGCTATTATATGGTTCTGAAACATGGGTCATCTACTGTCACCAGCTGCGACTTCTCGAACGCTTTCATCAGCTCTGCCTCCATAAGATTCTAAACATCCATTAGACTGACTATGTGCCAAATGTTACTGTCCTCAAACAGGCAGGGGTCACCAGTATCGAGACCATATTGCTGAAATTGCAGCTGCACTGGGCAGGGCACGTCTCTAGGATGAAGGATTACCGCCTCCCTAAGATCGTGTTTTATGGTGAACTTGCCACCAGTAGCCACAAGAGAAGTGCCCCAAAGAAGAGATATAAGGACTCCCTGAAAAAATACCTTAGCCTTGCCCATACTGACTACCATCAGTGGTCCACCTTGGCCTCCAATCGGGAGACTTGGAGACACACCATACATAACGCCACTGACTCCTTTGAGAACTCATGCAAAACTAGTCTCAAAGAGTAAAGACAACGTAGAAAGAATTGTGCCCCGCTTATACCACCCAAGGAGACCTTTCACTGTGCTTTTTGCAGCCGGATTTGCCTATCTCACATTGGCCTTTTTAGTCATCAGCACGCTTGTAGTAAGCATGGGTAAAGCCCTTCCCAAATCTTCATTCCAGAAGACAAGCCGTGATGATGATGATATACTTATATAATATTTATATATTATATAACTTATATAAATTAAACATATCTTTTTTTTTTTATTTATTTATTTTTAATTGGGAAACCTGAATTCTACCTTCTACCTCTTATCTATAGATAAAGCTTTTAATGTAGCATCATTCAGTGATCTAGTCTTACTGGTTACTTCATGCTTCATTCCTATTACAGAGCTAACAAAGAAGACGACAGACTAAACTTTGGAAAGTGTAGCATGGTCTGGAAACTCACTGTATTATCCAAGCGTGATGGGCAGACATGCACCAGCTAAGGAATATGCAGGATTGTAAACATTCTTTTTCTCAACTGAGCAGCTGTTCATTTGATTGCTTTGGGGGTGGTTTGTGTGTGTGTGTTTAATATTGTATCATTAAGGACCCTAAGTCTTATTTGGTTGATGCCAACACTTTTAAAGTAAACTTGTGATTTCCTAGTGCCTTGATCAAATTATGTGGTTTCATGTGTTTTGTTCGCTACACTGCAGTAACCATAACACGCTCTGTGCAAAAAAAAAACCACAAGAAATTTTTGACTGTCTAACTAGAGATGT